TGTTTGTCACTGGAGCTACACCAACCCTATCAGGGTTATATTCATTTCACATTTTGTCTCTAAGTGTAAAACCACTCATCCACCTAATCATTCTCGACTCAGCAACACTTAACCTAGTATTATGCTTCTCTTTTAAAGGCCAACATTCAGTGCCATAGAGCATTGCAGGTCTCACAAAATTTTTCTTTCAGTCTAAGCGGTACTTTTCTATCACACAATAGGCCCGAAACATTCTTCCACTTCAACCAACCAACTTGAATTCTACTATTAACATCCCCATCTATATCACCATCGCTTTGAACAACAGACTCGAGATATCTAAATAGTTCACACCTTTTCATAATTTGATAACCCAGAGTTATGATTTGATTGCCCATTATTACACTTCTGTCACTAGAGCAATTACTACTAAAAATATATTCCATGTATTCAGTTTTAGTTTTACTCAAATTAAGGCCTTAAACTCCAATGTAGGCCTCCAGAATTAAAGTTTTCTAGGGTTTTTTCTCTCGTCTTATCCACGAGAAGGATATCATCAACAAAAAGTATACACCAATATAAATCCTCCTGTAAATGTCCAGTAAGACCATCCATAACTAAAGCAAAAAAGATATGGGCTTAAAGTCGATCTCTGATGTAATCCAACAGACAGAGGGAAATATTTGGTCAATCCTCCTTCAGTTCGAACACAAGTAACAGCTCTAATATAAATGACTTGAATATAAGTCATATCAACACCTTTCTTCTCAAGAACTCTCCAAAGGATATCTATTGGAACCTTATCGTAAGCTTTTCTAAATCAATAAACATCAAATGTAGATCCTCCTTATTATCTCTGAACTTCTCCATCAAACCTCTAAATAAATGTATAGCTTCCATAGTAGACCTGCCCGACATAAATCCAAATTGATTATGAGAAATCTCTGTAATACGTCTTAACATATGTTCAATTACCCTCTCCCATAATTTTAAAATATGACACAACAACTTAATTCCTCTATAACTTACACACTCTTGTGCATCCTCTTTATTCTTAAAAATGGGGACCAAAATACTTTTCCTCCACTCCTCAGGCATCTTTTTAGCTTTTAAAATAATATTAAAGAGTTTAATAAGCCAAAAAACTACCAAATCTCCTAAATATTTCCACACTTCAATAGGAAATATTATCAGGTTCTACAGACTTTCCACACTTGATTTTCTTTAAAGCCTCCTCAACTTCTTTTTTACTAATGCGAAGGTATAAATGAAACGTTTAATTATTATTAAAGATATTAAGATCACCAAGATTGATTGTATTTTCAGAAACTTGATTAAAAATTTTATCAAAACAACTCACCCACCTATGTTGAATATCTTTTTCTAAGAAAATCACTTTTTGATTTTCATCTTTAATACACTTTACTTGAGTTAAATTTTTACTTTTCTTTTCTCTTTGTTTGGCTAGTTTATATATATATTTTTCACCCTCCTTAGTATCTAATTTATTATAAAGATCATTAAAAACAAAGTTTGTAGTGTCACAAGATGTTCTTTTACACTCTCTGCGATCCGTTTGATATTTTTTTCCAGTTCTCTAAGTTTTTACATTTAAGTTAATTTTTATAACAAAACTTCTTATATTTTATCTTTTCTTGCAGATTATTATTCCACCACCAACTATTTTTATTTATAAAAATTTTTTCTTTTGACTTTTCAAATATATTTTTTGCTACTTTTTTAACAGTGTTTGTTACTATATCTCACATAGCATTTGCTTCTTCATGAACATCCCAAATTTTAAAATCTTGAATTTTACACAAAAAAAAAAATAATTCATTTGTGTCTTTTAGGTTCCCCCATCTAATTATACGATAATGAGTCCTAATATTCTTAATTTTACAATTTTTCATCTTAACATCTATAACTAATAATCAATGTTAGGTACTAAAATTCACACTTGGAATGACATTACAATCTTTACAATCTCGACGATCTCTTCTTCTCATAAGAAAATAATCAAATTGTGTTTTATTAGATCCATTCTTATAAGTAATAAGATGCTCATCTCTTCTTTTGAATAATTAATTAGTAATAACAAAATCATACACTAAAGTAAAATCTAAAATGGCTCTACCTTCTTTATTAGTCGCTCCATAACTGTAGCAACCATGAATATTTCTGAAATCTTCTACCACTCTACCGACATGTCCATTTAAATTTCTTTCAATAAAAATTATTTCTTCAAGTTCTTATCCATTTCTAAATTCTCTGATAACTGATCATAGATATGTAAATGCGCCAATGATTCAAATCAAAAAACTCCTAGGGGGATTATAGATCCTTATAGGGTTAAATTTTTTAAAAAAGAAGATATAAAGAAAACGACAGATAGGTGTTGAAGGACGATGCAAAAGAATTTAGATAAACGTCAATCAATATCATATATGATCGTCAACAAACATAGAATGTAAAAAAGGGATTACAGCTAAGGACCAAATCCTTCTGTGTATAGTGAAACATGATGTAGATTTTTCTCAAGAAATCTTAAGGTTTGATTTCTGAAATTGTGACATATATGGTCTAAAGATTGAAAAACTTTAAAATCATAAACACATAGATCCAACACTTAGACAGGGTACATTCATACTATTGTTTTGCCTCAATCAATGTTCTAAAAATCTTGAAAACCGCAATTTAAACAAAATTAAAGCATTAAAAACATGTGTATGTGTGTGTGCATGCACATATACATGTGTTATTTGTATGTGAATGTACAGGAAATGTGTAAGTGATAATTGTATGTTAATGTGTGCATGTGTTTTAGTGTGTGAGTGAATGCCTTGTGTCAATTCATGCTTGACAAATGAATATGCATGGTTATGCGCAAACCTCCTTGTTCCATTGTATGCATAAAAAATGAATGTGGATTAATAGATGTCTATATACTAAACCATGTCAATACATGTGCTTGTGTTTTCAGTTTATGTGCATACCACTAGGTTGTTGCATGCATGGTAAATGACTAGATGAGTCAATAGATGAGTATGTGTTTACTGGTGTTTCTTATCAAACATGTACCGAAGCTAAAATGTCTTATGAATAAACATAATGAATCCTTTGCCTTTCTAGACTATTAATATACAATATGATGACTTTACTTTTCTACATCATTATTCTTTATGCATAAATACAAGAGGCTATTTAGCAACAAATTTCATATCTATATCTTAATTAAAAATTTTCATCATCATCATCATTAGCCTTATCCAAACTATTTGAAATCAACATTATCAATCCTCCTCCACTCAATCTTATTAAACATTCTATGAGGATTTAATCCAAGATTTGTATAACCTTATCATTCTACCACACTTAGATCCACTAATTATATTAGTATAAACAACATATTTCACAGAAATTTATCATACCATACCTTATTTAAAGTAAAAGGAAAAAAAAGGACAGACAAAAAATCTCATTGTTAGTGTACAGTCATCTTCGACTCAATAATTAGCACTAGTTTGACAAATTTTTGCTAGCTCATTCTTAAAAAGCAGGTGTTTTATCATGTTCAACTCGATAATAACTCGATCATTCCAGTTCATGTATAAGAATTCTGAAAAATCATCATGTTCACGAATAACTAGAATTCAGCTCAATAACTAAGCATCATTTGTATAATGCGCTGAGCTTGCTCAAGCTCTGCTCATTTAACCCCCTAGAGAAAAATACTGACAAGTCCCACATGAATTCTATTATAAGTCCTTGTTTCACCACCCAAATAGCTCCCAAATAGTTATGTTAATGGGATGTCATGGTGGCTCATTAAAATGACATTCTAACCTATTTTATACAGCAAACTAGATCCTTTAATTAATGAAATAAGCATCTCTCTCCCCTCTTCCCAATCATCATGGATCCTTGGAATGATTTTTTTTCCCTTGAAAGTTGTCAACAACTTTGTTTTAGTCATTTAGGTTGCAAAGCATGCATGCAAAATAAGTGCTCATGAGTCAGTATGAGAGGGCAAAATAAGTCCCAAAAAATTAAAATGCCAAATGAACCTCCAAACTTGACTAAATTTGTTGCTATTTGTAAGGAAATTATTTTTACTATAATTAGTAAATAGCTTTCTATCTTTCTTATCAATAAACTTGTCTAAACTATTTGGGTCCGACTTTGTCAATCAAAATTCTCCACTCCTTTAAAGTGTTGCATGAGTTATTATATACATGCCTTGCAAGTTCTTTTGCGTTGTTCCAGTCCATATATAAAAAAGGTGATGCTTGTTGAGAGCAATAATGCGGAAACAAATGCAAACATTACAGCAAGAAGCTTCACAGCTCATGCAACACTTGCTTATAAAAGGCACACATGGATTAGAAAACAATGACTCCAATCATGTCCCACAACTATTTACAGCCTAATTGGTGTTAGATGTGCCTCCAATACATGCCACTAAACTTGCACTGGCAGACCAACCAATGTGTTTCAAATTCTAGCACAGTTACAATAAAAGCATTTTTTCTTCCACACCGAAAATTATTTGTTTTCAAAGCAAATTGCGATCATAAAAAAATCCCCAAGCTTCCCCTTACTGCGTGTCAGAACCCATGTTTTCACATTTGGAAAGTAACAAAGAAGCACCCACAGATATCCACATAAGACTCCATTTCACGCAAAAATGGCACTCACCCACGCACTGAGAGCCAAGTCGAAAATTTTAAACAATAATCATTCATTGATACCAATAATAAAGCTCCAGATATGCAATTTATTGTCTTTATCTCAAGTTTTAAATTAAAAACAACACGACTGACCGGATCCGTAGGAATTGAATCATTTTCTTCATTACAAATCCTCGCCGATGCACATAAACTTTGGCCAAAACCACGAGAAGGTTAAAAGGAACAGTACATTTATCGAAAACTTATGATTCGGTAATGAAAGAGCACACCCAGAGCTGAATCGGAGGTAAGGGAACTGAAAAGAACAGATCTTGAAGTCGAAGAACTCACCCTCCCGGCGCGGCAAAAATTCGATGAACGGAAGGATGAGAGAATACCCGACGCCCGGAGTAGTTACAGTGCCTGAGCCCTTCGCCTTCTCCCGCGGTTCCCTTGCTCGCTATCACCGGGTTCGGTAATTAAGTCGGATCAACAGGGCATTGGATTAATTGAAGTGGAGAACGATACAAGGCAGTAAGATCTGAGATTTTGCATTCCTTGATCGGATCCTGAGATCATTGCAAACACCAAACAGGAGGGATGTAAAAATAAACCCTAATCTTACACGAACGGCTCATATTCGACCCTTAAATGATTTATATTTTTAGCTAGATTTTATATTTGTTGATGTTGGACTCATTTTGATTCTAAATAATTAAATAAAAATATTTATTTATATTTTTTATATTGAGTTTTAATATGTATATGAAAATATTCAATTTAATTATTTTTTAAAAATTATTTAGGTGGTATACTTATAAAATTATAGTTTTAGTTGTTAGATATGTAAATAAATGGGATTTGGGTGGTATGTAAATGTTCCTAGGCACCCATTTTCTCTAAATTAGGTACTTAATTTGTATATACATAGGATTTGGTTGATGTGTGTAAATGTCCCTAAAATTAGTTGGAAAATGACAGGAGCGTGATGGGAAGGGGTGATTTAGTCCCATATTGGGAACGACATAATTGTTTTTTTGTGAGGAAAGCCTATTTAAAACAATCAGTTCTTAGTTATTTTGGGAACGATGAACCGATGTTGTCTATTTTCTTTAATTAGAAATGAACAGTTCGATGAACAACTTGAACTCGAATCATGTCCCACAATTGTTCAAGTTCATGTTTTGACTGTTCATGTTTCATGGGACAAAAATGAACAGCTTGTCGAATCGATGTTCATGTTTTAAGCTTCTGCAAATGAACCAATGCACTCGATGAACAACTCGAACTCGACTCAATTAAAGCTCGATTGTGATCGTTCAAATTAGAAAATAAACAAGTTTGAACAATTTTTAAAAGCTCGGAGCTTATATGAATTAAACATGAACATATTCGAAGTTGTTGATTTATGTTCACGACCAAGCTCGTATGTTATTCAACAAGTAACTTCTTAAAATTTTGATATTAAGCTCATAGATAACTCGTATCATATATGATATATTATTTGAATACAATTTAATTAACTAAAGGTATTGTTTAGGTTTATTTTGGTTTTGAGAAGGTTTTGTTTAGGTTTAATTTATTTTGACAAATGTTTTGCTTAGATTTGTTTTATTTTGAAAAAGATTTTCTTATGTTTATGTTAGTTTGAAAATATTTTTT